TGCCACTAACTGAATCAAAACAACAATATCCCTTCTGTGTTAAGGCATATCCTAGAAAAACACATTTACGAGCCTTAAGTTCAAATTTGTGTTTTTGATGGCTGTGAACATGCACATAGCAAGTGCACCCAAAAACACGGAGAGGAAAAGAAAAAAGATCCTCATTTGGGAAGAGAAGGCTAAAGGGAGTTTTGAAGTTAAGAACCTGGGAGGGCATACGATTGATCAAAAAGGTAGCAGTAAGAACAACATCTCCCCAAAATTTTATAAGAACATGGGATGCAAACAGGAGGGATCTGGCAACATCAACCACGTGTCGGTTCTTCCTTTCTGCCACTCCATTCTGTTGTGGAGTGTAGGAACAAGAACTTTGATGAATAACCCCAAAAGTTTCAATATAGGCGGAGAGGGTTTTCTCAAAATACTCCTTAGCATTATCAGAACGGAATATTTTGATCCGAGTGTTAAACTAGGTGAGGATGAGTTCATGAAATTTTTGCACAATAGTTGGTACTTCATCCTTGGATTTTTCATGAGATAAATCCAAGTGTAACGAGAGTAGTCATCAATAAAAATGATAAAGTACCTATAACCCGCCATAGTTGGCAAATGATATGGCCCCCACACATCCGAGTGAACAATATGAAAAGGAGAAATAGATCTTTTATTGCTTACTGAATAAGATTGTCTATAATGCTTTGGAAGTTCACACGACTCACAATGAAGACTCGATAAAGACACTCCCTTAAACATATCTGGAAACAAATGACTCAAAGCAGAAAAAGACAAATGACCAAACCGAAAGTGACATGACTTTGTCAACAGACTCTGACAAGACTGACTCTAAGGAAACTCCATGAGGTGGTCCAAGAGCTCTATCCAGTGTGTCCAGCAAGTATATTCCGTTCGCCTTATGGCCACTCCCAATCATCCTCTGAGATTGCAGGTCCTGAAAAACACAATGAGTAGGAAAAAAGGTTATGCTACAATTCATGGATTTAGTTAAACTGCTAACGGATAAAAGGTTTCTATTAAGTTTAGGGACATGAAGGATAGAGGATAAATAAAGGGTGTCAGAGGTTTTTATATCCCCTTTACCCGAAATAGGAGCAAGAGACCCATCAGCAAGGGATATTTTCTCTTTACCAGAGAGAAGGTGGTATGAGCAGAAGAGATTAGACAAGCTGGTCATATGGTCTGATGCACTGGAAACAATAATCCAAGGGATTTTATGATTACTTGAAACTGAAGCATGATTTGCAGAAGCACGAATGCCTGAGTGAGCAAATGCTGATGATGCTGATGTGTTGCCGGAAGAGTGAGATGAAGAAACAGTAGCCTCCAAGTGATTTAACAACCTCCCATACTTTTCAAAATCCGCCTTCTTTGCTACCAACTGCTCAATGGTTGATTTTTCTTCACTCTCCTTATTTCCTCCTTTAGGTACTGTAGCAACATTAGTTGTCTTAGGCTTTCCTGTCTGACTGCCCTTCTTAGAACTGTTGTTATTCTTAAACTTTCCAGGTAGAAGCTCAGGATGAAGCTTCTAGCAAGTGTCATTTGTATGCCTCGGTTTCTTGCAATATTCACATATCAGCTCCTTTTTCTCAATAGGACCCTTTTGGCTTTATTCCAGCATGTGCAAAGTGTTCTGTATGTGGACTCTGTAACTGAACCTGCCGCCTACTCTCCTCACTACTTATCATAGCGTATGCCTGGGAAAGAGTAACCTCATCTTTGGCCAGGATATTTTGCCTAATGATGCCAAACTCAGGGTTGAGTCTAGTAAGAAATTCAAACACCCTATTTCTCTCCACCAACTTCCTATACATTTCAACATCATTTTTACTCTCCCATACACTCTTCTCCCCCTATCTTAGGTTCTTCACGTCACTTTTCAACTTGTAAACTCTGGCTACATTCAACTTCTGTGAATAGGTCTCAGTAACACCGTCTCATATCTCCTTGATCGAGGACATCCAGAGATAATGCTGACTTATAAGAGGTTGCATAGAGTTGACCAACCATCCAATGATTGTATAGTTCTCCTGCATCCATTTCTCAAATTCAGTGTCTATCTCTTCGGGTTTCGCTTTACTACCTGTGAGATACCCAAGTTTTCCTCTACTATAGACATAAATTCTTATAGATTGTGCCCAAGCAAGATAATTTGTCCCATCTAGCTTGATTGTGGTCACACCAGTCAAAACAGAATCTACCGAGCCGAGGCCGAAAACCGGCACTTGCTTGAACTCACTTCCATATGGCTCCATTAATCAAACGAAAATCAAAGAACCAAAAATTTGATCTATATAAACTTACTTGAAGTCAAACCAGAACCCAGATGCTTGAAAACTAGGGTTTTACTGCGTCCGGCTGTTGGGGAGGAAGAGAGAAGATGTTGCCGCTCCTACCAGAGCTTCCCAATCTCTTCCAAACCTGAACTGCCCTCTTCTAGGAGTCAAAAAACACCTCCCAAGCACAGAGCGCCACACCCAAAGTTTCACTTTTACCTGTACCTTCGAAAATCTCTAGTCGGCTAGGGTTTTGGACAGCAACAGAACAACACCACTTCTTGGCAATATCTAGCCAGATTTAAACTCTCCAAACCCTCTACCAACTAGGCCAGAGATCCTCTGAGCTATAGAGAACCTATCTCTCCATACACTCTCTTAATCAAAGGGTGTATGGGAAAAGAGGAAGAAGAAAAGAAGGAAGAAAGAAACCTGCTCTGATACCAAGATGTAAATCAGCCCTCGAAAATAAGTGTAAACTTCAAAATTAGAGAGAAAAATGAGGAAGAAAAGTAAGAGCAACAGTACAAGAGAAGAAGATGGAGAAAAGAGGAAGAAGAAGAAGAAAGGTTCGAATAATCCTTCCCTCCCTTCTCTAATCCTTTTTACTAAAATTAATGTTAAAATAATTACAAGTATGCCCTTAAGTGGGCGGCCAGCTAGGCAGTAACATAAAGAGATCAAACAAAAAGAAATAACTGGCCCATTAAGAGAGGCTTATTAGCTAAAACAGGAAAATAGAAAAAATATTACAAGGGAAGATACTAGGACCCATTCGGCCCAATCTCTTTACAAGATTTGTTGTAAATATAAATCATCATCAGCTAAGCCTTGTCTGAACTGTATGGGTTTGGCTACACAAATCCTGTTTCACCATTCTGTTCTGTTCGCAAAATATTTGTTAATATTTTTTTAATTATAGAATGAAATAATCTTGTAAATAATTACATCATTGTAAAGTGATAAAAAAGATGCCTTTAAAATTTCACACCATTTTAAAATGGTCTCTTCCTCCACTTAGAAATTAGAAAAAAAAAATTAAGAGTTTACAAATGATTATAAGGTACGTTTTTTTGATTATATTTTCTTTAATACAAAAGTTTTGATAACTATACAAAATATAATAGATATAAAAAGAAAAAATCATGTTGAAACAAATTAAGTGATAATATCTATGTACATATAAATTGAAAACCTTATATTGATAAAAGATTTATCCAAAATATCTTAAATTGATATTAATTAACAAAGCAAAACTTGTTGAGAACAACATGAAAGGTTCTAACACACTAGGGAATATGTTGACATATATTTCTCTAATATTCATGTCAATACCCGGGGAAATGGAAATATATTGTGTAAACATTTTAAACCATGACCAAAATAACCATCTATCTAATATTCACTTGTTTAGCACAGAAAACTCTTTCAAAAGCTTATCTAGTAACAGCATTGTGAAGGATTAATGTTGGATACCCCCAGCAATTCTATGCATGAAGAAGCTTTGGTTCCCTCCTGTCTCCAGTGCTATTAAGTTCAACCTTGTTCTTAATTTCTTATCAATCTATAAGTTTAAGTTAGACTGCTATTGTTTCAAGAATTTTGTCTTTGCACAGATAATACCACGAAAAGGAGTATTTGAGCAATCATATTTCTTTTCTCAGGTCTGGTTGGGAAAGGAATTAGCTGATAGCCAAGCTTATTACTTCGCTTCAAAGACAGATTTCTAAAAGGTATTGGGTTTTTTATCAAAAAAAATGCATTGGGTTTCAAGGCGATATTCAATCATCACCAGCTGAATTTATAGCAATAGGAGATGACTACTCAAACAAAGTATGTGCTCTGATCTCAGGGTTGAACAGCTTGCCCCAATAGATACCAAGAACAAGCAACCATGACAGAATCTGAGTATCTTGTGCATTGGCAAGTGTTACTAGTCCTACAGCAAATTTTACCTGCCAGAAACTCTGCATCTTAACAAACTAGAATAATAACCAGAAAGTAAGTGTTTGAAAATGGAAATCGACAAGAAAGCTCAAGAAACTGTTCATATAAGATCAACTCATTGTGAGAAACACTGATTGAGCTATCCAGTGCCCAAATCTCTGTAAGGAACATCTCTCCAGAGGGAGTATCTCTTCCTTTATTTGATGATCAATGAGAGAGATCATGTTCCCATCACAAGAACTACATGAACTGGAAGTAGGGAACAACAGAAAAAAGGGTAAATGATCACAATCAAACCTCATCCGAGAAAGTGGGGCAGGTCCCATTATATTTTGATGAATTTTGCCACTCAAATTCTTGCTAGACCAAAAGGTTCATTAGCAAATTAACCATACCAGATTTTTATGTTTATCATCGAAAGCAATATATCTCACTTTTTCTGATTGAGAAAATGGTTAACCCACCATCCGGTTATTTACACATTGGTCATATTTCACTACGGTATGAATTTCCTTTCCTGAATGACAAAATCAAGTTATTGCGGGTGCCTCGACTCAAAGAATAAGATTTTATGAATAAAGAAAACAATGGCAATCACCTGACAGCAAACATTATGATCAGATACAATCTTCATTGCTTCTTGTGTTTTTGTTTCATAAGCAGGAAATGCACATCTCCAATACAGTAAAAAAAACGACAAAATATTTACTCTGACAACAAACGACATTAGAGCAATAAATAGCTGCAACGGATCCATACCCATTTCACTCGATGATTCTCCATTCCGTAGACAGGACCTAACTGGTACACTAGGACTCTGGTCTCTTGACTGTGCACCCTCAGTCGAAATGCTATCATAATTGCTGCCACTACCGACCCAACTATCAGGAGAAGCATTATTCTGAGGAACCATTTTACTAAAATTGTGGACCTCCTTTTTGCCTGTGTTACTCCCCGCAGATGCCGTTGAAGAAGTCGAAGGAGAACACCCATCAGCAGCCAGCCTCGATAAGTTTCTACCACCAAGAGTGGACCCCTTGTCTCCACGAAACCCAAAGAAGCTATCCTGAGGTAATGGCCCTGATCTCGTCTTTATCCGATTCAACCCAAGCGATGATGCCAGAATTGGTGAAACCGCCGAAGGCCCCTCTTTCACCTCAGGGATTTTCCGCGGTTTCGACGGAAAACCAGAAACCACCGCTGTAGTCGACTTCAATGGAGTTTGAACTTCTTTACCCTTGATCTCCTTCTTCTTCTTCTGCTGCTGCTGCTGCAATTGTTGCTGTTGCTCCTGATGCTGCTGCTGCTGCTCCCTGCCATCTTTGACCTGAGTCTGACGACACGCAATATCGAAGTTTCCGCCACTACCACCGAACTGCTGCTCATCCTTTGTGGATTTGACCTTCTTCTTCTCGGATCTAATGGGTGAATTTGGACTTAGGGTTTTGGGGCTGTTCGACCTATCCGGGCTTGAAGTATCTGATTTCTTGGAGGAGAAAAATCTCACCTTGAACACCATTTTTATTTGGGTCTTGTTTTAGATATCTCTGCTAGGACTGCTGAACGAGGCATGGAAGACCACTGACTTGTACTCAGACAAATCAACCTAATCTCGGAGATCGTTAAGAAGAAGAATGAAGTAGGAGCGGGGAAGAAAAAGTAGGTGGAAGGGTGTCTGAAAATCCTAAAATTTCTCACTTATCAATCAGTAAACATCGTAGCAGACAGTGAACATAAAAGATAAATGGACTTTGAAATGCTGAAGAATGTAGTATGAGTGTACGACTGAGTACAGTCTACAGCGACAGTAGCACCAGTGCAATGCTTGAAGACAACGACTTGATACAACTCCTGATTTTCTCAATTTTATCATGTCTGTAGTGCGAAGCATACAACATGCAAAAGTTGCATTAACTGTTATTTTTTAACGCATGTAATGGAAAAATGAGCTAAAATCGGAGATCGGCTTCCGTGAAGGCAAGTCCGTGCCCACACCGATCTAACCGCCTTTTGAAACTCATGTGTTCATAAGATGCGTAAACCTGCTAATCAGAAACGTCCACGTTGTTGGGGCAAGTAACGTTAACGAAATTTTGGCCGTTAATATAAAAAGACAAAAAACAGAATTCGCTTGTCATTTCGAACTCACTCCTTCCATTTTTTTCATTCTCCTCCACTGATCCTAGCACAGCAGCATTCGTTAATGCGGAAACCACCGGCAGTGAAAGAAATATTATCCGGCGTCCAGCGTCCTTTCTCAGTAGGGTTGCAAGTGAAGCCGGATTATGCCAAATTGAGGCCAATCCTAGCTCAATCCTATCCCTAATCCAACCTTTCCATTCTTTAAAAATCTTGTAGAACTTCTTAATCTAATATCTTAACTCAATTTTCATTGCATTTATTAATCTTATGTTTTATTAATATTTATTTATTAATATTTTTATTGGTTTTCTAAGTACAAAATTAAAAAAAAAAAGTTCAAAATGAATCTTTTTATAGGCAGCAAACTATGGGTGGGTGGCAAGCAATAGAAAGGAAATAAAGAATAAAATATTCAAAAAACATAAAATATGTTGTTAAGGTTTTAGTATCTCCGATTAGAATTAAATGAATTGATTATCTTAAAAGAAATAAATGATAGTATGTGGTGGGGGCTATACAATTATCACGTATATAAACAAATCATGTATGATACATTATATATAACATATATTTATATATGATATGTACTATATAGTAGGGTTCGGGTTTGGTCGGGTTGTCCAAGGGGTCAACCCTAACCCAACCCCAAAATAAAGTCGGGTTTACAAATTTCAACTCTAACCCTAATCCGAGTATCAATCTCAACCCAACCCAACCTGACTATTCGAGTCAATCCAGCCTAAATTGCAGCCTTAATTCTGAGTAGGGGTGTCCATAAAAAACCAAAAAACCGAACCAAGAAAATCGAACCGCAAAATGCGGTTAAGCGAACCGATCAATTTGGTTTTGATTCAGGATTTTTGAAAAATTGAAGGACCGGTTCGATTTTCAGTTAACCTACAAAAAAACCGACGGTTAACCGAACCAACCGGTATATATATTTTTAATATATGTCACATATTTTCTATGTATTACATATAAATATATATTCATTATATATATAAATATATACTTATATTATATTTATAATGATCTATTTATAAATATATTATATATTATATATTTTTCACATATTTGTAATATATTATATATTATTTATTATATAATATTATACAAATATTTGTATAATATATTATAAATATAAAAAAACGAAGAACTGAACCGATTAAAAATCGAAACCCACAGACCAATTAACTGGTGGTACCGGTTCAGTTTTGATTTGAAGAATTGAAACAATACCACCGGTTCAATTTGCAAAAAAAAAAGGCTCTGATTCGATCAACCGAACTGTGGACATCCCTAATTCGCAGGCCCCTTCTTATTCATTCAGTGAGGGGCGAACTCTGATTTTCTTATCTTTTGCATTGAAGGCTAAAATTCCATTAACGTTATCGTTTATTTACCCCGACGATGTGGCCATTCTGGTTGGTGGGTTCATGCATCCCGTAAACCCACGTATTCACAGAACGCGGTCTTTTTCGATGTACAGTGCATCTCACCATGGGTGCCGTTTCACCAACTTGACACGACACCATTTTTGTACTACTTAAGAGCAAATTGCGTTTGTTAATGCCAACTTAATAGTGATTATTCAAGAATTACCGTTCTACACGTCCATTGAATCAACGTTGTATAACTTTCATATGCTTGTGGCTAGCAATTGGACTGTATTTGGTCCAATCCGATCCAGTTCAATGTGAGTTTATTATAAATGGATCAGGTTCAATCCAATCCAATGAATGTTTTGAATTAATTTGAATTGGTCAAATTCAATGATTGGACTGTTAAATCTGTTCAAATTCATTTTGATTTATATTGGTTTCAACCCAAATCCGGTCATTGATACATATATTCTTATCTTATATCAATGGACCAGATATTGGTTTAATCCAACCCAATTCAATATAAATTTGTTACGAACGAACCAGGTCCAATCCAATCTAATAAATATTTTGGACCGGATTAGTCTAAACCAATATGTCTTGTTGGTCCGTCCAATCTGTCCAAATTGATTTTGGACTGGACAGGGTCCAATCCAAAACCAGTCCATTGACACCCTTACTTGTGGCTAGAGCTATAAAGTGGACCGGTTTAGTGGAGCACGATTCGGGCCCAATCACTATAGCAAGCAGGCTGGGCCAAACCCGATCCAAATTCCTGTGCCATGTCGTAGGCTTTAAGACCTGTAGGACAACATGATACAGCTCGCATGCAAGTCCAGTACAGTTCGAATTGTGGTCCGGCACAGTTAGGGATGGTAACAAGGTAGGTTCAAGGAGGGTTTTGTAAATTCTAGACCTTACTTGCCTCCCTAAACCTCCTAACCCATACCCTACTCAAAACCTGCAACGGATTGGATTTTCAAAATCCAAACCCTACTCACACACGAAAATGCAAAACCCTCCCGACCCTACCCTCCCTGCTTTAAGGATGGGGCAGGTTGGGTTAGCGGGTCGGGCTTAAAACCCGCATCTAATAAACTTAACAACATTTAAATTTGCAAAAATCAATAAAGTTATTAAATTTAATAGTTTCTTGTTATATGTAAATCAATAAACAACCAAACTAACATAAACAAATATCAAAATTTTCAATAATTGAAATGATTTTCAATGAATAATATCATTCTAAATCATTCAAAAATTTTTCAATAGCTGAAATGATTTCCAATGAGCAATATAATTCTAAATCATCCACATAACAACATCAAAATTTTCAATAATTGACATGATTTCCAAAGGAAAGAAAGGAGGAGAGAAATCTATGAGCATAGCACTAGGTCAGGAAGGGTTCGGTATTTTAGTAGTATAAATATTAGGGGCATTTTAGTAAATTTAATGCACTGGTCGGGTAAGGTCAGGTTTTATCTAAAACCCGTATTGTATGGGTTGTAAAATCCCAAAACCCATCCCTGACCCAAATCACATTTTTCAACAAAAGAAAAAACTGCCCCATTGGGACGGGTGGAAATTGCCATCCCTAGGTACAACCCACATATATTAACATATTAATTATATATTTAATAATACATATATACATATATATAAATTTTTTATTTTAAATTTTATTATATTATTTCATTTCAGTTTTGTTGTAATTTTTTCAACTTTATTTTATTATTTCATATATATATAAACAATTGAGTATACCAAAATTCATATGAATTAAAATTTTAATTTTTTATTTATCTTGTTAATTTATTTTAACTTTTCCAATTTTTTTCAAATTTTCTTAAAAAAGTAATGCCATCCACAGCTCGGCCCAACACAGCAAGGGTCCCACTTAGGCTCATTCCATGGGCCGTGCCAGACTTTCCTTTTGAGGGATTATAGGCTAGGCAGGCACACAGCCCACCCAGGCCCGGCCTGCTACAATACAAGCGGCCAGCAAAATAGAGATTACACGTCTACTTGTGCATGCAAGCAGCCTAACCTGATTACCTGTTTAATTTGTTGACTACTTTTCGGTTAGGCTCAGTACAAATGCAAATTTGTAGAGTATAAAATCTTGTATTTTGTATTATTTTTTATATATTTGTATTGTATATATTTATATTTGTATTCTTTCTAAATTGAGCTTTAGAAATTAAGGCTCAGTTTAGAAGGAGTATAAATATAAATATGCACAGTACAAATATATATAAAATACAAGGTTTTGTATTCTACATATTTATATTTATACTTTTTCCAAATTGAGCCTTAGATGAATAGAATTATAAGATAATGAGTGTATTTCTCTGAGCAAGTTCACTCTGCACTCCACAATGCTCCACAGCACATTCGACATTGTATTGAGAACATCTCCCAATAAGTATGGGAGATGATAAGACATCATCATAATATATTCCCGATATAAGGTTGGGATGTACGGGTGGGGCATTGTGGGGTGCCCCTTGTGAGGTGCAGATGTGAATTCGATATGGGCAGCCATAAAGCTACTGAAAGTACCCACCATGTGCACGGCTACATAAGGCTGCAAACGGTTTTCAATCGTCTGACTTCAAATAAATTTCACTAACCAGGCCTAGCAAATAAAGGCATGTCAGCCCAAAATATAAGGATTGGTTTGGGTGAAGTTTGAGTTAAGGTTAGGATTGAAAAGTATGAGTCTGATTTAACTTTGCATTGGGTTAGGGTTGACATCTTTACCAACCTGACTTAGCTCCATATTTGTATATATAAATATTGTATAAATATGTATTTATGTATATGTTTATTCAATGTTTATATATTTAACTATGCATCCATAAATATATATATATATATATATATGGCTATATATTTGTATTTTTTTGCTTTAAGTATTTATGCATATATGTATTTATCTATTCATACATGTGCTGAAATTGAATATCAAACCTTTTAAGTTTGAAGGCAATTTTTTAGATATTTTTTCATCTAAAACATGATAACTATGTTAGTAACATGAATCCCCACTAGGAAATAAGTGCATTTGACAGAAGGAATCGAGAAGTAGGGCCACCCTGAGACTAACCCAAACCCAACCTGAACCCAACCCAAAATTTTAAGGTTGAGGGGTAAAACAACTCAGGTTGGGTAAGGATTTACCTCAATTTTACCTAACCCAGCCACAACTTGCACCCTTACTCTTGATTGGATTTTCTAGTCTATTGTACATGCTTGTGTTTGTAGCTCATCCCATTCCATAGATGAATTCAACTTTACCCCTCTATTGGTTAACTAGTAAGCCATAAAGTTCACTTCTCATGAGAGTGTAAAGGTATTTTTTTTTCTCTTAATTCATAATACCCATTTGTAGGGGTGTTAATGGACCAGTTTTGTGTTGGACCCTGACCAAATCAAAATTAATTTGGATGGATTAGACGGAGCAATAAGACATTAGATTGGACCAGTCCAGACTTAATGGTGCAAAGTATTTATTGGATTGGATTGGTCTTGATCAATCTGTAATAGACTTATATTGGATTGGATTGGACTGAACCAATATCTGATCCATTAAGAATACATGTGTCAATGGACTAGGTTTGGGTTAGAATCAATCTAAATCAAAACCAATCTAACTAGATTGGACAGTCCAAATATTGAATGGACTGGTCTAAAATGGTGCAAAGTATTAATTGGATTGGATTAGACCTGATTCATTTGTAATGGACTCATATTGGACCTGATCAGATTAGACCAAATCTAGTTCAATTGACACACTTACCCATTTGGGAGGGCTATCGTGCAACAACTTCTAACTTTACAATATAGGCCCCACACAGAAAGCTTAGAAGCTATGTTTGGGGAAAAACCCAAAAAGCCCCAATATGATTTCATTCAGCCGATAAAATCAACCTTCAGTGTGAAGCTAGTTTTAGTAGCTCTGAAAGCAGCTCAATGGAAACTGAAGCCGTCCCAAACGGGCCCATAGTCAGCTAAGGCTTTCTTTTACTTGTTTATTAAAACACTCCAGAATCCAATTCAATTTGTACCATTGGATATTGGATGTACTTGGCAACAACACTTTTCCCATCTTCCCAAGCCTCTGCCACCAAAACTGAAGATTTGTCTATGTATTTGGACCTTCATAAGTGAACACACACCAGTGTTACATACTTTCGCAAGCATAAGGTGTGGGCCCATATGCATGAAATACTCTATGCCATGTCTACTTTTGATTGGTACCATGGGCATGGTGTGTACGACTTTGTTTGTAGTTCTTGTTCCACACTTGAGGGGTGTTTGGTTTTGTTTTCTAAAAAAAACCAGCTATTTGTCTAACAAGATAAAACCATACACGATGCTGCTCACACGTAATGTATTGATTACATAGCAAGTGATATACAGCAGTATGAGAAGCAGAACTGGGCTCGATTTAGCTACGTGTCTATAGGAATTTCTAGGACTTTGCTTTAAGCCTTTAATATATAGATAATAGATAGATTAGATAATAACTAGAAAGGATCCAAAGCACTACCCGATAGGGCCATTACTCAAGGTTGGTCCCAGCAATCTGGGGTGTTGGGACTTGGGAAGTATAGCTCTGCAACACTGGTATAAGAGAAGATGGCAACATTAGCTACAGTCCATGCATGAAACTCCAGAATATGTTAAATACCCTAAAAAAAAGTGTATTGGAAAATGTAGCCTCATATAAAAGTTTAAACCCTTCTAATTCAAAATTTTGCTACCCAACAGAAATAGCACTCAGAGGATCAATGGAGTACACCAAACACAATATATCTGACAGTCCAATTATCAAGCAGGAGTTTGGACCACAAGACCAGGCAGAGCCAATTCATCATCAATTCTCCCTTGCATAGCTTTCACCTCTGAAAACATCACTACTTTGCCAAAGTGGCCACTCACTTAAACAGTTGTTTCACTACGGCTGTGAGTTGTGTCTCGCAGGGATTTGAACTGTAAACTCCACTGGGTCGGGTTTCTACTGGTATTGGGCCACTCAATCACTCAAGTTAACATTTTACTCTAATTTGGGCTCGAGTTTCGGGCTGGGTTTATTCAAATCTTGACAAAAGCCCAATCTAACCCCACCTAACTTGCACCCCAATGTACAGATAGACCTGGCCCAGACTCATAACTAAATATACACCAATTCCAAACTAGACCCCATAGATCGGCAATTGGGGTTATCATGAGAGAAATAGGGTATCTTTGTTTAGCTTTACATAGTTGATTTAAAATAGAATTTTTTGCTAGGTATTTAATTTTGTTTTGTCGGATATTCCCCATGGCCAAATCTTTACCATATAATGTCAATACTTGTCTCCACTATATTATCTTCTCTAATGCACATGAGAGCTGATTAGAGATGCCAATGGACCAGTTTTGGATTGGATCCATCCAAATCAAAATCAATTTGGATAGATTGGATGGACCAATAAGACATTGAATTGCACCAATCCAGATTTAATGGTCCAAAGTATTTATTAGATTGGATTGGACCTGGTCCATCCATAATGAATTTACGTTGGATTTGGTTGGATTGAGCCAATATCTGGTCCATTGATAGAATGGTAAGAATATAGGTGTCCATGGATCAGGTTTAAGTTGGAATTAATCTAAACTAAAACAAATTTGAACAGATTGGATGGTCCAGACATTGAATTGGACCGATCCAAAATGGTTATTGGATTGGACTGGACGTGGTCCATTTGTAATAGGCTCACATTGGACTGGATCAGATTGGACCAAATTCAGTCCAATTGACACCCTTAGGGGTGATCATGGGCCAGAGGCTTTGGCTTATTTCAATAAATATATCATATTTAATAAATTTAAATAATATATATATATATATATTATGTTATAATTTGTATACATATAACATATTATATTATACCTATACTACTTTAAAAAGCACCAATGGCCTCAAGAATATTTCTAAAATTTCTTAAGGACAAAATTTATCCCTCTATATCTAAATTTATTGATAAAAAATGAGGGCAAAAAGGGTAATCAGTTATTGGTATTAAATGAGTTTAAAAGAGGTAATTTTAAGATATTCAATGCATTCCATTCTCTCTCATTAAATCCAACATTTAAGTTATTAACTTGCATTCATGTTCATTGAATCATATATTTAAGTCATTTTTGTTTCTTCTCATCATTAAGTTTTATTAATTAAATCCATACTTAATATATAAATTAATAATTCTAATAAAATAAAAGCTTATACTTTTAAAGTCTACCTAACAAAAATTATGTTTTCATCTAGGTGATGGTAAGAAATTAAATCATTTTGGGTCAAATGGGTCAATCCATGTTGCCATGATTAAATAATAAATTTAAAAAATAGATAAAATGAAAAAAAATAGAAATTAAAAAAAAATGGGAACATTTTTAACATACATATTAAAAAATAATAAGTATGATAAATAAAAAATATTTTTATTAATGATGGAAATGGAATATAAAATTTAAAACCAATTAGAAATAAAAATATTTTCATGTTCTACTCATTAAGTCCAATATTTAAGATAATATGGTTCTCATCATTAAATTCTTGTAATTTATATTATATTATATATAAGGAAAAATCTATATTGCCACTTAGTTCCCTCCCCGGCTCCCCCAGTGAATTTGATAAATAATCATCTAATTAATTATATTGGTCACAAGTTTTTCCGGTGTCATAATCAAACCTTATATATAACATATCCTACAATATAAAAAAAAAGGGCAAACTCCAAAATCCCCGGGGTGTGTCACCTCACTACCTAAACTTTCAAAAGTTGCAAAGAACACCCCCCTCCCCGACTTTCACAAGCTAAGCACTGTTAATTAGTGGTGGTTTCACCGCCGAACAAAGGTGATCCATTAAATACTTGACTAAGGAACAACACCGGGAATAAGAGGGAAATGGATAGAATGGAAAATTTCTGGCATACCTTACTTTTCCTATTCGTTTATTGCTCCAAGCCTCCAATTTTGCAAATAAACCTTACTAATATCTTCTATATTATATAAAGCGCATATTTGTCTGGGTTTGGTATTGATTATAAAATTAAATTTTAATATCATATTATATAGTTAATATTTACATTATACTATTATTATATAAAATCCAGATTTACATTCGTTTTGGTGTGGATTAGTGCGTGCCAAGTGCTATAGAAGTCTTTACCCTTTATTTACACACTTGCATGTACCCTTACATTAGTGGACAAATGACGAAGAAAACGACTCATGAGTTGGAAAAAGAGTAAAGGATAATTAAGCATTTAAAAAATTATAATAGACCAGTTGATATATATTTTCCATCCCAATGAAAGTTAAATTTGGGAATTGACTTCAGTACTCATGCTTACACTGTTCACACACAGCTCCCTGAAAAAAAAACATACAAGTACTGAAACATTTTCAATGCAAAGCCAAGGCTTAAAGGCGTGAACACAGCCTTGTGATTGAGCACTGAAGCGGATCTCAAAATTTGGGAGGGGAAGTGTTTGTAACTTTTGAAAGTTTAGGTAGGGAAATAAACATCAACATGTTGTATCTTTGTAAAGTTGTTAAAAAAATAATAAATAAATAATCCTCATAAAATGGTCATAGTCAAAAATCCTATTCCTACATTGCATCACGTTCTAGTCTCAAAAGTCAAATCTCACCGTATTGAGAAAAAGAGAACACAGGATATCGTTATTCGCCCCTTGAATGCTAAACATACAATACGTATCCTTCCGGGACACCTCCGATACGCCCCTTATAGTAGGTGTATCGGGGTCTAACTGGTTCAGAGGGTGGAGCCCTAAACCAGCCCCCTGAACCGGCTTCAGAAAAAAAAATTAAATAAATAAATAAAACAGTATCGATTCACCTTATAAGCCCCTACCTGCGTATGTGCCCTCCAAATGGTGATGGCTCCTCCTGTAAATTTGTGAAGTAATGGAAGGCTTCTCTTTCGGAAAAAAAAAGGGATCGCAGACTTCAAGCAACTGGAAATTGTCGTAACTCGTAGCATATAATTAAAATTAAGAAAAAAGAAAGGCAACTGGAATGTGGAAATGGAATGTGTAAATATCAACAAATAAAAAAGTTGATTTGAAAAGCAAAAGTAATTACAGCCACCACCGTCCAACTTCCCCCTCCCAAGCAACAAGAACCAGTACACTTCAAAAAAAAAAGAAAGGAAAAACTGAAAACAACATTTAAAGGCTTGACCATATAGGCATATAAGATTAAAAAGTAAAAATTAATGAAAAAAAAGCCTAGCTACAATGGAGAAAAAGGGAAAAATGAACAGTTGATTAATTCTTAACGAAAGAAGATGAAGCCCATATATAACCTGATAAAACAGACAACCAAAGAACACTAAATTACATACTAAAAATGGGCATAAATGAATGATTATAATTCATCTTCAATCCATCATAAGTGAAGATGGTGCTGGACCCGAGTCAATTGAGTTGGTTCGTCTCGATGATCCGTCCTCATCAACTACATCAGCCTGGGAATCTTGAAATTGGCCTAGACTGGATTGTCGAAGATCTTCAATCCGCCTGGTCACCTCTGCCATTGAGGGGCGCTTGTCGGGGTATTGTGCACAACAGTCGATTGCAAGCTGTAGGAGCTGAACCATCTCTTCTTCCACCGTCTGGTATCTCAGGAGCTCAAGGTCGAACACCTCTGATGTCCATTCATCTCGGACAACTGACTGCACCCACCTGGGCAAGTCAACTCCTTCTTCATTCAAGATGGCGTGGGTGGGGGGCTTGCCAGTCAAGAGCTCCAAGAGCAGCACTCCAAAGCTGTAGACATCAGCCTTCTGCGAGACCTTACGGGCATCTATCACCTCTGGTGCACGGTAACCTGCAACGCGATTAGGAGTTGCAGTGGGCCCAACAAGCTGGGCAAGACCAAAATCAGAGACCCGGGCATCATATGACTTGGTGAGGAGGATGTTGGATGACTTGATGTTTCCATGAGAGACGGTGGATCCCTGTGAATGGAGATATTCAATACCACGAGCAGCTCCAAGGGCAATGCCAGAGCGGGTCTCCCAGTTCAATGGAGTCCTACCTGCTCCTCTGTTTCCTGTAGCCAAAAGATAAAAGAGGGAAAGGAGAAAAGGGGAAAAAAGCAAAAGCTAGTCAGGCACAAGGTTTTGTTTCTGCTTTACTTTGTACTCATTACAGCTTTAGTCTTAAATTTCACATGCATGACCCAGCGTCCTGAAACTTATGATGCTTTCGCCTAGGACATAAAATGTTTACCTTGATAAAAAATGGATCCAAGGAGGTTTCTGATGAGTGAAGAAAAATGTAGCTAAATTGCAGATAACATGAATCAGCACAACCAATAAGAAGAATAAACTTGAGCAGTTATAATTCTACAATGTACAAGGCCGTCATAGTGCCGTGGAGAACCAAAATAGAACAAATAATTGGAAGGAGAGAAGTGACGAATGTTCTAACAGTCAGATTCAAAGACGCCCACAATATAGAGGGGGGGGGGGGGAAGAAACACATAAGCTTCTTCCAGACGTAAGATAATGTATTCAAAGAATCAAATAATAGATGATTTTGCTGAATGTTCTCAGGAATGAAACTAAATGAAAAAATCAGATGAATACTCTTAGAAATGAAGCTAAATGGTAAAATCAGAAAAACAATGAAAATATAGCGTTATAATCACAGCGGGTGCAAAATAATTGGGGGACAAAGGAAACCCATAAGCTTCTACAAACATGAGACAATGTAGACAGACGTGAGAATCTCATTGAAACAAATCAAGCAAAAAAGTTAAATTACAAGTAAAAATCGACCCAAAACCCCAATCACCACGCAAGAACACAGCAAAAAGGAAACTAAATAAAACCAAAGAAAACACCCATGACCCATGAAACGGGCATACCAAATGCAATCACAGATAACAGAGAGAGAGAGAGAGAGATTTCAACACAAACAATAGTCATATCAGAAAAGAGAAATCTGAATTCCATAAGTTTCTTCCAGATAATAAAACATGATATAGCACAATGTAGATAGATGCATGGAGTCGTTCCATTTCCATTAAAACAATTCAAGAAGAAAAATTAACAGTTATAATGGAAATGAAACAAAATATCAATCACCAAGACATCCAAAGCAAAAGCAGAAACAAAATCAAGTAAAATAAAACCCAACAATCATACTTATCCTACCATCAAAACAATCACTGAAGAAAAGAAAAAGTAGAAAAATTATACATCTTGCAACACTAAAAAGAATATCTTAATGCAAAATAAAAAGCACGCAAAAGAAGAAAGGATTACCATGCAAAAGCGCAGATAAGCTTCCATTGGGCATGAAATCATAAACAAGGAGCTTCTCATCCCTGCTGTAATAGTAAGCTCTAAGGGGGACTAGGTTTTCGTGATTCATCGATCCGACGGCTTCGATCTTCTCCCTGAATTCCCTTTCCGAAATCGTCACATCCTTCAATCTCTTAACAGCCACGGTGGTTCCAACTTCCAAAATTGCCTTGTACGCCGTTCCAAACGTTCCCTTCCCCAAAACCTCAGCTGAAGCCCTCAACAGATCCTCCAGATCGAAAACCCTAGCGGCATTTCCAAAGAAGATGAGCTTCTTGTTCTTACTATCTGCTGCCGTTTTCGATGTTGTAACTGCAGACACAGCTGCTGTTGCTGCCCCAGAATATTCTGAGCTATTCGAGTTACCATTTTCTCCCCCTCTGATATGTTTCTCCCGCGGAATTTCAACTTCCGAAGGTAGCTGCTTCATCGTTGCAATATCGTTCGTTTTTCTGCTACTCTTCTTTCCGCAGAGAAGAAACAAAATCAGAAGAATCAAGAGGAAAGCCACCACCGACCCGATTGCGATTCCTGCAATAGCTCCTCCAGACAACTTCTTCTTCCCACCACTGTTACTGTTGTTGGAGCTGCTACCTCCGCTTGCCGGCGGCACCGCTTCGTTAGGACAAGGAGAAAGCGGCGAGCCGCAGAGCGAAGTGCTAAGGAATGAGTCGGCCTTAAACTTCTGCAGACTCGATGGAATCGGGCCATTCAACTGATTGAACGAGACGTTGAACTGACCGAGATTCGTTAGGCTCAGCTCCGGTATCGGACCAGTTAACTTATTGCTCTGCAGATACAGAGTCGCCAACCTGGTGAGATTGTTGAAGGACGGAGAAATCCCACCGGAGAAGTTATTCAAAGCAAGGTTCAAGCGGACAAGTTTCTTGAGTCCGAACAAGGACGACGGAATCTCGCCGGAGAAAAAGTTCCCCTGCAAATATAAATTGCGGAGGTCCGTACTTGCGGCTAGATCGGACGGCAATGGACCGGTGAGAGCATTAAGCCGAAGGCTAAGCGTGTGAAGCTGCGTCAGATTTCCGAAGATTCCTACGGGGATTTGGCCGATGAGTCCGTTGCCAGGAAGACGCAAGACGGTGACTCGGTTGTTCTCGCAAGTAATGCCTTGCCACCGACAAGGACTTTGGTCGGTCGTGTTCCACAAGAGCGACCTTCCACCGACAGCCAACCGGAGGGCGATGAGCGCCGTCCGTTCCGCTGCAAGATCTGATTTTCCGAGAGGAAAGAAAACCAGTAACAAGAAAGTAATTAACTGAAGAACCTCCATTAGCGGTTTAGCAAAACCAAACCCACTTTTCATCACTTCGACATCGTCGTGAGAGAGAGAGAGAAACCCAGAAGAAACCCTAGCTGTATCGTCTGCTTCTCTGCTTCACTTTTCTTTCCTGTTTTACGCTCAGCCTAAAAATGAAAATAAAAAACCGAAGGAATCATTTAATTTTTAATTTTGTTAATCAATTTCAAATGCAAGCTGGACTTTTCTAATTAATCACGTTTTTAATTGGTAACTTACTAGGTTTGTTTTCAATTAATTATCTTCCTAGTTTACCAAAAAAAAATAATTATCTTCTTTTTTCGCTACCATTTTTAATTAATTATTTAATTACCTGACTATGTGACAAGACGAAACTGTCTTTTATGAAGATTCTGATCGAACGCTAGAATATGTAAATCTGAAGGTGGTTAACCTGAATTCTGATGTAGGAGATCATATTATTTAATGGTAAAAACCGGAAAAGTTACGTGTCAATGGCCGATAAACTGGGATCGGCTTCGGTCGAGGCAAACCCGTGCTTATACGGTGCCAACAGCTCTTGCAACCTTACATCGGGAATATCATGAAATAAAGCATATTACTATGGAGATATTCTCAATCGAAGGCTGAGAAGGCTGTTCCAATGGGCGTAATTAATTTGATTGTGCCTAATGGCAGGTAGCGGCGATTCAACGGTTTTATTCCTTGTGGGCCCCGCGGAATGAATAATCAGTTAATTACTTTCAGTATTCATGAATAATTTACAGTGAAAAAGAGATGTTAAATGTTTTGAGTGCAGCGCTTCCGTAACGGCGTTTGGAATCTGCCATTAGCGTGGGACGGCCGGTGGGTATCTGGAAAATATCGTCGATTTGCGGCTTTGTCGATTCGTTGTCTCGGATTATCTGAAAAGCTCTGCTCTGTCATGGAAATCAGGTTTGATACCGAAATTAACCCGTGGATCCGTATTGGTGTAGGGGTATTTTCGGTAATCTAAGGATGTTCGTGTTCTTTTTTCAAATTGTTAAAATTAAAATCAAAATTTTACTTTTGACATTGTAGACTCTGAGACTAGTACTCTGATTTTGCACCAGAAACGATGGGGCCCACAGCTCTCCAATGTGGGAAGACGGGAAGTATATATATTTCTTCCATTTTTTTTATTTGTAAAATATTTAGGGATAATAGCACACCTTTCGCCATCACCTCTGCCTCCGCTTTCAATAGCGTTGCTGGAGGTAGGCGGAGGCGGCGACATCGGCACTGGTGGTTATTTCTCTACCCAACGCCACCACCTTCGCTCACTAGTGTCGTCGTCGCCTCCTTTGTCTTCACCCACATCCGACAACATTGTCGAAGGCGAAGGTGGAGATGCGCAGAGGTGGCGGCGTTGGGCAGAAAAATAACCATTAGCACCGTCGCCACCGCCCACCTCCGACAATGTTGCCAGAGGCAGAGGTGGGTAGGGATAGGCGAAGGTGGCGACGGACGGCGACAAGCGGCGATGCTGGTGAATGGACAGTAAGGGGAAGAAGATGAATAATGATTATGCCCTTTATTGATTTTATTTTTCAAAAGTTACTCTATTTTTTATTTTTTTTTTAAATATTATTTTTACTAATATTAGTTTCAAAAGTTGCCCTAGCCACGCGTAATGCACAGCCTTATAGGGCCCACGGATTTTGGCGGTGCCCACAATAAAATCGAGACAAGATCTGCCCTCACACAAGGCACTTCACACCGAGCTCATAGATACATCCTACCATTTATTTGGAATATCTTCCGTATTTATAAGTTATTATTCACGGAAGATATTATTAATGCATGGTAGATGTGGCACCCTTTTGTGAAGAGTAGATCCTGTTTCGCCTTAGAGGCGCACTGTGTCAACATTAGTGCATAGAATGTGGATTGTTAATATTTTGAATATATATAACTCTGTAGTGGAAATCAGAAATATGTATTGGACTTGTCCGTATTTTTCCGATGCCTTCCAAAGTCGGGACTTATCTATATCCTTAGACCTTGTTAGGGGTGGCAATGAGTCGAGTTTTTCACAAGCTACTCAAGCTCGTCTCGGTTCAGTTTCAGTCGAGCTCGAGCTCGAGCCCAATTCAATGGCTCAATTAATAAACGAGTCGAACTCAAGCCTAATAGAGCTCAACTCGTCAGCCAACTTGAATATATATAATATATATAATAAAATTATAGAAAATAATATATATATAATAAAAATATTATAATTATTAATTATTATAATTCTTACTTTTTAAATATAAAACAATTTTTTTATATATAATTTTTATTTTTATAAAATATAATAAATATTTTTATAAAATATAAAATGAGCAGAGCCGAACCAAACTCGAGCTTATAAACTTTTGACTTGAGCCGAGCTCGAACCTTATAGAATAGTCTCGAACTAAGTTCGAGCCTTAATACTATTCGGCTCGGCTCGACTCGAATCCACCCTAGACCCTGCCACATTTTACTTCTACCATTCAAAAGAATCCACTCGGGCCCATATAAACTGGACGGTTCCTCACTTCCTAGGCTGATGGTCGCGGTTCCCTCTCTAGATTCGGCTAAGGCGACAAGTAAACGTGAGCCAGAATAACAGTTTACAGTGGGCCATGGCCGGCTTGGTGAATAATTGGGTGGAACCCACTATGACACTCCTCAATGGGCTTATACTTTGAGGCCCAAAACATCAAGTCTTCAGGTAGTCAAATGTGAAAATAAATGACTGAGAAGTTAGAAGGAAAAAGAAACAAAAAAAAACCTAGATCTATGGGCTTAGGACTACTGGACTAGCGACGTAAATAGTTAGTTGGGCCCCCAAAAGAGGGTCTTTCTACAGATATTACAAAAGGGGGAAAACACATGCTTGAGATCGATTAATAACAATAATCCAATTGGTAGACTTTTCTCTCCAAAAAGAATGAACATGTTACGTTTGACCGTAGGAACTAGGATCTAGGAAGAGATCAAAAAGAGGTCCCACCAATCCAATAGAAGTTCTTACTTGGTATAACTAAACCAATGTGTATGCATATGGAGCTCAAATGTGGTACCTAATATATTTAAGCGTTTTAGGTAAGAAAAAGGGGAACTATTTATTTCTTTGAAAGAGGTAGAGGAGAAAGAGGAAATAATTCATTTTAGTCTAGCGCGGCCAACCACCCTTAGAAAAAGATTCACCAAAATGGCCGTTTGAGTGTGAGAGAGAGTTGATTTTGGGTTGGAAAGCTTTGTTCTTGATTTTGGGTTTGCTCTTTGTTGTCGGTTGTTCACATGAGAATAAAAAAGGTAAAGAATGGGTCTCTTTTCTTTTTCTTTTTCTTTTTTTTTTTTTTCCTACTCATGACTCGTGAGTGAGTTCCTTCAATACATACCCATTTGACATCTGTGGTCAGTGGCCTACTGAGTGGGTCCCCTATCTGGTGAAAGGTGTAGACTTGGGATCCTAATCCAATGGATCAGATGATGGTTTGGATGTGAAGGCAAGAATCATCTCATATTCTAATCCAATGTTTAAAACACAACTTTATCTGTATTTTCTAAACTAGTATCCAAATGATGCAGGATTGGTTGCTAACCTAACGTAGCCCTCCTTTATCTGGGCTTGAGACCAGCGATGTAAGACAAGCTCAACTGTGAAGAGTTATCCAGGTGATGTAATATTGCCACTTGAATACTCTATTTTTGTAGTGGTTGCATCATACTCTTACTCTTTCTTTTGGACATCAAGTATGGGTCTCTCTCAATGTAAGTGAAATTAAGGGATTTGTTGATTGCAATCTGTAGATTATCTAAATCAAATAAAAAGCACGCCAATGTCCTTACTTCTGATCAAACACTTGTCTAGATATTGGTTTTGGTTTTAAGAACCAGAGTCAATGACCTTATTATTGACCATGAAAGCTTCGTTCCCTTGTGATTAGCAGGTCAGGTGGTTTATCTACTGTTATGTTTGTCTTGAGTCATTGGATGAAGAATCCTTTGAGTTAGTTGAATCTAGAGCTCCATTCATCGTGAGGAATGTATAGCTAGTGGATGGTCTAATACAGAGAATTCGCTTCTTTTATTCAATCTTGAGGGAATAAGGTATCTATCTCTTAGGAGTCTACCAATGGCTCTTCAAAGATGGCTTGGGAGATGAAAAACTCATAGCACCATTGAGTTCACAGATTAGTTAAACTTTATACTTGTATTACGGGCGGGCTGCGGGACCAATCATTTTATTCTATGACAGCAATAAATGTATATAAGAGATTAAAGTGATTGTGGGCCACATGCACTTTATAGCTGTTGTAAAGTAAAACGAGTATCCTACAACCCATAAAAACAACTATCAACTTCAGCTAATCTAGATAATGATTGTTTTCATGATTTCCATAAACCATTTCATGCATATAAAATCAGTTCCTAAATTTCAAATTTCCTATCCTCCTATCCACACTTTTTCATGGTGGATAACCAGGCTATGCCACCTTGCTTTTCAAAAAATTTTGAATGTTGGATGAAAGTTATTTATCTAGATAAATGCATTTATTCCAGTATTACTCAGGTAAATATATATTTACCTATATTCTTTTATTTTTTAGGCCATAAAAAGCTATTATTAAAAGAGATAGGAGGAAAAATAAATTTTCCATGAATCCCATATAAATCTGAAGAAAGAATATGGATATCTTGATCAATATGAACCAAAATTCCATTAACCAACTTTCCCCCTTCTCAAAATCCAAAAATAAAATAAAATAAAAATCAACGGGCCCTAAGAAACCCAACACGTAGATATAGTATCATCGAAACATTTGTGAATAACCTCTCATATAAATATAGAGGTATTGGAGGGTCGGGTACTCAAACCTATTTTATTTAGTTGGGTGATAGCTGGGTTCAGATTGAAGAGGTCTCAAAAGCCCTAGTTGGTAGGGATGGCCACGAGTTGAGCCTTTCATGAGCTATTCGAGCTTGGCTCAGCTCGATTTAGATCGAGTTTTGAGCTGAATTCGAGCCGATATATAGGCTCAATTGCTAATCAAGTCGAGCTCGAGCCTACTAAGATTCGCAAGCCTAGTAGTAAATAAATAATTTTTATTATATACATACATACATACATACATATAATAAATAATT